GCGGCAATCGCCTTACGGGCTATGCGGACGTATTAGGAGGGCCACGGGTGGGGGCGGCGGAGAGTAATGCAGAATCAGTACAGGTTCTACAGCAGATTGGGACTCTGAAAAAGTGTGTCGAAGAAATGAAAATTAACGGACCTACTGTTAGGGGAGAGGAGGAACACCAGGAACGGCTCCAGCGCAGGAACAATGTAATAGTTTTTGGAGTCCAAGAGAGCCAGGCAGAGGGAACTGTGAGTAAGGAAACACACGACAAGGTGCTGTTTCAAAATATTTGCACAGAGGTTCTGAAGATTCCAGCAACCCCTCAGGATGTGAGGAGACTGGGACAAAAGCAGGGGGCTAAGCCTCGCCCCCTCAGGATCACACTAGGGAGTGAGGAGGAGAAATGGCAAGTTATCCGGCAGGCAAAAAACTTAGCAAGGAGCGAGGCATTTCGGGATGTATTTATTCACCCAGACCGCACGGTAATGCAGAGGGAACAGCACAAGAAGCTCCTGCTGGACTTGAAGCAGAAGAGGGAGGAGTCGAGGAGGAACGGGGACAGGTGCACATAGGTTATACTCAGGAGGAGGGTAGTGGAAACAAGTGTGCCGACACAGGGCCAGGGGGCAGCAGTGCACCCTCCACCCACTCAACCCCCCACCCGGGAGGCGGCACCAGCTCAGCCTACCGGACAGGAGGGAACGAGCGCCGTGTAAACAATGACATTTTTAACCACACCCTGCAAAATACAGTGTACTTAGCAAATGCTGCAGCTTCTGAGAATGTGGGTGGAGCGTGTTTATTACTAAGAGCAGAGACGTTACCGAGAACAAATTCTGGCTTGAATGTCATGTACACTAATACTGACACGTTCCTTGATAAGAGAGGAGTTTGAAACACTACTAAGAGTACACCAACCAGATATTGTAGGAGTTGTAGAACTGTTGTACAAGAACAGGAGAATCGACCCAGAGGAATGTGAGTTCAGTATTGCTGGATATGACTCATTTACGAACCTAACTCGAGAATCCTGCAGGAGGGGTGTGGTTATCTACGCTAGGCAAGACCTTAGAGCCAGCCAGGCGAGGGTACAGGGAGAGGATGTCTTTGAAGAGTCCAAGTGGTGTAAAATTAAATTAAAGGGAGGGGACTTACTTATCGTCAGGTGTATCTACAGATCCCCGAACTGTGGCCCACTAAATCAAAGGAACTTAAGAACCTTAATAAACAATGCGGCGATGCTCAACCCCAGCCACCTCCTTATCATGGGGGACTTTAACTATGGCGACATCGACTGGAGAAACGAGTCAACCCCGAATGACTTGAATAATCCTGCTACTCTTTTTGTAGAAACTCTGAGAGATAATTTTCTGTTCCAACATGTGAGAGACCCGACACATTACAGAGGGGAGCAAACACCCAAGCCACTTGACCTCATCATAACAAACGAGGAGGGTATGGTGGCCAAACTGGAACACCTTGCCCCAGTTGGCACCAGTCACCATACAGTGTTGTCATTCAGATTTAACTGTTACCTAGTTCAAGATAAGGCCAGGCCAAGGTGCAAATAATACAAGGGAAATTACAATGGGATGAGGGAAGAGATGAGGGGTATCAACTGGCCTGACTTATTAAGGCACAAGAACGCAGACACTACGCTGAATATCATAACTAGTAAAATGACCCATTTGATCGATAAATATATACCCAAGACCAAACCCAGTGCTTCTAGGAATACGAGGGGATCCCTACACATGAACCATGCGGCGGTCGACAAAATTAAGAAGAAACCCAGAAATTCAAGACGTGGGTTGGGTCAAACGATGAGCAAGACAGGAGGATGTATGCAAGAGCCAGAAACCAAGCAAAGATAGAGTGTAGGAGGGCTGAAAAGGAGTTCCAAAGCCTGGTTGCACGCGAGGTCAAGTCAAACCCAAAGGCGTTTTACCGCTATGCAAAGTCGAAATTGAAAACGCGAGTAGGAGTATCAGACCTGAGGCTTGAAGATGGTAGTTACGCAGATTCTGACCAGGATAAAGCTGAGGCATTGAACAGCTTCTTTTCCTCAGTGTTCACAAGAGAGGATGCAACTAACCTTCCTGCGTTTGAGGACAGACAGTTCGACACAGCACTGACCCACATTGTGTTCACAGAAGAGGGTATTAGAAATAAACTGTCCAGGCTAAAGGTCCATAAGAGTCCTGGACCTGACATGGTGCATCCTAGAGTGCTAAGAGAGCTGTGCAACGAGCTTACAGAGCCCCTGAAGATTCTGTTTTGTAAATGCCTGGATGAACAAATGGTCCCCAGTGAATGAAAAGTGGCTTATGTGAGTCCTATCTTCAAGAAGGGCGATAGTCACTCCACGAACAACTATAGACCAGTGGGCCTGGCCAGCATAAATATGAAATGCTTTAGAGTATTATCAGAGATGGCGTGAACATCTACTACAGAAACAACTATGGTGCTAACACGGTTTTATGCCAGAGATTCTCAGTGTGGATGTTGGACCCATATTCTGGGATAATGTTACCTAGATTTTGCCAAGGCTTTCTGACAGTGTGCCCACAGAAAGGCTGAAAATCAAACTGGAAGAATTACAGGTCGAAATGTCTAGCGTGGATAGAAAGACTTTCTACACGACCGCAAAGCAATAAGCAGTGATGTGCTGATAATCATCATACGCACCTTAACCATTAAGAATTTGCACCGTAGGGTAGTGTATTGGGCCCGCTGTTGTTTGTTTGTTTCATAAATGATATGCCTGACGTTGTACACTCCTCCATACAAATGTTTGCCGATGACGCCAAGTTATTTCGGGAAATTAAGAACCAAGCGGACTGTGAAGAGCTGCAGAAGGACCTCTGTGGGCTCCAGGAATGGTCGAAGGAATGGCTGCTGAGATTCAATGTCACGAAGTGTAAGAGGATGCACCTGGGGCGTACCAGCGGTAAGGAGGCGTACCATATGTCCCAACGGGATGAAGAAAATGTACTAGTTGAGACTGTGTGTGAGAAGGACCTAGGTGTGTATGTTGACAATGAGCTGAAGTTCTCGGGCCATTGTGAGAAGAAGGTAAATCAGGCAAATAAATTAGTGGGTCTTATAAGAAGGTCGTTCAGATATCTAGACGGTCCGTCCCTCGTGACGATCTTCAGGAGTGAAGTGCTTCCCCATCTGGAGTACTGTCACCCCATCTGGTCCCCGAGATATGCTAGGGACTGTCAGTTGGTTGAAAATGTTCAAAGGAGGGCCACCAAGCTGGTGCCTGCACTTCGGCATCTCAGCTACCCTGCGAGATTGGAGCGCCTGAACTTGCCTAGCTTATACTACAGACGGGCAAGGGGGGACCTAGTTGAGGTTTATAAGCACCTCAGGGGGCACTACTCAGTTGAGTGTCCTTACTTGGAGCTGGCGGACGCTCGCCCCACAAGGGGTCACAGCTCAAGATTGAAGAAGCCGCAAGTCCGGAAAACCGTGAGGGCAAACTTTTTCGGAGTGAGGGTTGTAAACTCTTGGAACAATCTACCAGAAAGTGTTGTGACGGCACCGAGTGTGAGCTCTTTCAAGAGAGGACTTGACCAACACTGGAGCGGGTTCAGGTACATTCAGGAGCCGGTGCATGCCCGGTATTTGCCAACAGTGCGTGACAGAGACGTGACCGATCGCCCGGGCGGCTAGCGAGCCGACCTTTTGGTGAAGAATATAAAGGAAAAGAGTCGTGACCGATCGCCCAAGCGGCTAACAAGCCGATCAGCGGCGAAGAGGATAAAAGTAAAAAAGTAAAAAAGTTCAAGCTCCAATCTCTCAGGGTAGCTGAGATGCCGAAGTGCAGGCACCAGTCTGGTGGCCCTCCTTTGAACATTTCAACCAACTGACAGTCCCTAGCATATCTCGGGGACCAGACGGGGTGACAGTACTCCAGATGGGGAAGCACTTCACTCCTGAAGACCGTCACGAGGGACGGACCGTCTAGATATCTGAACGACCTTCTTATAAGACCCAATAATTTATTTATTAAGCCTTTCCCCAAACTGTTATTATCTCCAATATATTCAGCGAGAAAAATTTATCTTGGAAAATCTTAAAAAAAGATAATTATATTAATGGGTTTGTGTGGAATAAATACTTTCGTCTCCCTCGGTGATTTATGAATGAATTTAAATGTCCAACGAGAATATAAATGGCGTAAGAGAAGTACTACAAAGAGTATTATTTAAAAATGGAGGAGTTGTGTTGTTTGGGGGATATTTATACCATATAGTTTCCTCACGTTTAAAAGGACACATTTTGTTGTAAGTTAAGATTTGTTTTAATAAATTTGTCTTACTGTAGTGTTAGTACATAAAATTAAAGACGTTTTTAATAGAAGGGATTGAATTACTGAATAATAACAACAAAGGACATTGATTTTATGTCTTTGTTATTGAATGAAGACCAGTTTTAAAATATTTTTTGGATCACCTGAAGAATCATGGCCCCAGCTTATGTCACCTGAAGATTAAACCACCCTAAAACTATTTTGGAAGGATGAGGTTAGGTTAGGATAGGTTAGATTTAGGTTAGGATAGAATAGGTTTAGGTTAGGTTAAGTTAGCATTAAGGTAGTTAATCTTCAGGTGAAATAAGCTGGGGCGTAAAATAATCTCTATCACAATGTTGGCACAGCTCTTCCACCTGTTCAGCGATATCTGGTTATTCTGGTAGTGAAGAACCAAATCTCCGCTCCCGACGCACCCACGCATTGTTCATGAGCTAAAAAAACTCTTTACCAATTACAAGTCTCTTATCGCTACAGCGCCAATAACCCCCCCCCCCCCCCCCCCCCCAGCACATGCGCTGTAGATGCTTCAGAAGCCAACGAGGTGAGGAGGACTGCTGATGGCTGGTCAAACTTTCTCTGTGAGACGCGAACAACAAATGGCGACACTTGTGACTGACCAAATCTAATAATATTGAAAAATTAATATCTCGGTTATCCTTAATTTCCGGCGGAAATATCACAGAAGAAAAGGATCCTAGAATTGTCTAAACATAATGAAAAACATATTAATAAAGCGAGAGAAAGACCTGTGCATGACTGAAATTTCGCCTAGAATGTTTTCAAGGCAGGTTTATGATGCTGGCAGCTTTATGTTGATGTAAAGTTTGTAAATACAAGATTATGAGAACTAACAATTTAGGTCTTGGTGTGGTAATTATTCAGAATGTGACAGTCTGCTGTTTTAATTGAAAACAAGTTTAAAAATACCCATTTTTCACTTATTTTATTAGAGATTACTGTATTATGTTGGGGAAAAAATATAAATATAGCTGAAATCATGTGCTAACCTAACCTATATCTTAACAAGCCTATATTTAGAAAACTAAACATTTACACAAGAAAATTAATTGAACTTAAAGTAATCAGCGCACAAGACTGTCTAAAAACACCCCCAATAATTACCAAACCACTGACGGTCATGATCATATATTAGCCCTTGACATATACTGTTATATAACTTATATTTAGAGTATGGTAATTATTGACGAAATACCTGTTATAGATTTTTCTTAGAAAATTAATTTTAAAATGCCACAATTTCACTATTTTGCTGTGGACACTGACGTAGTTAGGGCAAATGTGTTAAAACATGGTTATTTGTAAATTAAACCTAACCTAACCTTAGTTGATAAACATAAGAGGCCCAAGCATTGTTAGAAGACCGCACCAACCTAACCAAAGAAACCTACTTAACATTACCTAACTTCCAGAATATTAAACAGTGAACTTATTCTGATATTGTGTAATTTTACGCTTTTTATGAATGTGAGAGAAGCTATTCGGACTGAGCAGCTCAACAAACACTGAGCAGAGGATAAAGTCGTGCCTAGATCAGGTTGCCTTACTGATTATCTACTAAATGAAGCATTTACCCATGAAATGAATATCTTATCTGAACTCAGCAATGAAAATATAGTAAGAAAAGATCTATCAAAAAAAATACTGCCATATATGCTATATTTAGATTATTCCTGATTACAGTTTTGTCAGGTTAGGTAAGTAACAGTAACTTGATTTCCACATAACAGGCAGTAGATGTGACCTGTATTATCACTGTGGATATTTGTCCGGTTGTCAGTTGGGTAGGGTTTTTTTTTTACTAACCAGAAGAATTTGATGGAAATGGATGAAACACTGAGGTAACATTAATTACAATCTATTAAATAGATAAATGGAAACTAGAATCCATTCAGTGTTAATTATGTTTTGAAAGGTTTTTCTTTCAAGTTAGGTAGTTTACTTTAGGTAAGATTGGTTAGGTCAAGTTCTAATAGGTTCTGTGCATTCTCATTTTCCTTTATCTATTTAATAAACTATCAAGAATTTACACTAAGTTTCATGCAATTTTATGAACTCTTTCTGGTGGTAGTCTAAGAAAACTACCTAACCTGACAAATATCATCATCCTATTATTATTTAAGGCACTGACAGCTTCAAGTAACATGTAGTGCAGGTTTGTCTTGATTCATTGTGTGTGTTGATGCCTGTGACATAATGGATGTATTTTTCAGATCTTGTGGTGATGCCGAAGCTTGGATGACATGGCCTTGGCTCATCTGGTGGATATCTTCATCAGTGTAAGATACCATAACTAGGTTCTGTTACATTCACCTGTCCCATATTTAATAATTTACTGCATTATTTACCTTTGACACAAACCTTGACTGACTGACTGACTTACTTGATCAAAGAATTTTATTCCCTTGGTAACTTACTGTGGGCTCCTCATTGGTGCCTGTGTTGCTCTCCACAGATGATGCTAATGTGATCAGTTGTACATATGTGACTATACTGCACCATGTTTTATTATATTTAAACATGTGGCAGGTTTGATATTGATTAAATATCTGGTACAGTGTTGGTGGATGTGGTTTACAGTTGTAGCCAAATCATTTGATATATTTGAGGCTACTGTATATTTTTACATTTCCTAAAGGCTTATAATTATAACCTTTGTCTTTAATTATGTCATTCTCTTTTCTAACAATTCCAGACTTATGCTGATATTCTTGATTTATTATTATATTTGTGCTTTTTCAAAATAACTTTGTAATTTCAGGAATTTTATTTGAATCCCCTGAATATTCCCCACAGCTTATTAAACCTAATATTAACCACTGTAATTTTGACCTTCAGGTGATGTCTGCTGAGGGGTAAATCTTCAGGTGATCTTTTTAATGCTGTACCGTACTTACTGTACTGTACTGTACTCTGCTCTACTGAACTGTACTGTACTGTACCCAAATCTGCTCTGCACTACTGTACTGTACTGTACCTTTCATGTCCAGTTTAATGAATTTTGTACCTAGCAGTGTTGTTGGTACATGTCCTGGTTATGAACAAAATGTCATGTTCTCATTTGATTTTATTTATTTGATTTTTTTTTTCAACAGGATGGCCAGTCATTCAGGCTGTTGGAATAATTCGGCCATTGAACTATCATATTCAGTTCACACCATTTGCTCGATGGGTTTTATATTAACAAGCTGTGACTGTCGTGATCCATCTAGTTAATGGATGAGTGAACTTTATCAGTACATATTGCTTCTACTTAAACCATGTGAACTTTGTGCTCCATCTTTTAACTGATTGAACAAACTTTGTGAATGTTATGTTCAGCCCACCTGCCCCCAGCCAGGGTTATCCTGCCGTCTTTGTTGTAGGGCTTACTCCTGCCAGGCCAAGAGGTGCTGTAGTTCTGGGAAAGTTTACAGCAATGATTACAGTAGTATGATTACGGTACAGTCTCTCCTCGACTTATGACGGGATTCCGTCCCAATGACCAGGTCGTAAGTCGAAAAGGCGAAAATAATACATAGAAATTCTAAAATAGGTGTCTCTTTTTCTTCTCAGCACCACGAGAACTCTCACTTTTACGCTTGCCAGCTATATTAAAGGGAATTACAAACAAAAATTTTGTCAGTACACAGAGTGATCACTAATGTCGGGACTCGAAAATCCGTAACATGAAAAATATTTTATACGCCCATGGCCGTCGTATGTCCGGGTTGTCGTAAGTCAAGTATGTCGTAAGTCGAGGAGAGAATGTATATAGTATGTAGTGAATTTCTTAGAAGTTATATTGTGTATATTAGTAGAATGCTGTAGTGTCTACATGATTTAGTATGTATACTATTAGCAGAATGCTATTGTGTCTGCATGATTTAGTATGTATAATATACAGTACTGTACTACATGTATTTTCCTCTGAAAGTACTGCATAGTACAGGTACACCACCGATTTTTCGGCACCCTTGGTTCCAAAGCCTTGCCGGATTATCCGTTTGGCTGGACCAACTTAGGTCACGTAATAATACTGTAATTCAACAATACACCTCTGTCCCACTAATTATACATCTCCCGTGTCTTTAAAACACCATGGACCGCTAGAAACTTAAATTAAACAAATGTTAAATGTAAATTAAATGTGAATTAAATTATTTAATGTACGGTAATGCATTAATATAAATGATACAGGTTTATTAGTACAGTACAGTATAAATGAAACAAGTTTATTAATTACTGTACAGTCCTTACAAAGACTGTTGCTGTACTACCATTCCCAAAGTGGCAAATTTTAGAATTTTACTGGAACTGTAGAGCTAATCACAAAGGTCTGGAAGTTGAGGGCAATGCCATCTGTGGCCATCCAGTAAACTAGTCTGGCAGTTGCAGGAATTTCAAAGGCCCTCTCGTAATTTTGTCCGGACTAAACGAGGTGGCGGACCATCAGTTCCTGGAAAATCGGTAGTGTACCTGTACATTGAAAGGCCGCCTTTTTAACTTGTGTAGTTGACATTATTTAATACATTACTGTAGTTGTATTAGTTGTAGGGTTTACAATTTGTACAATTTAGAATTACCCTGTAGTAGTTTGTGATTGTACTATACGTACATGTCTGAATCTTGCCTGTATAATGTGAGTTTTGTCAGGTTGAGTAACAGTTTGTGCCAATGATGTTGGTGTGGATGTTGTATACAGTATGTGGTAAATGTGACCTCTGAATATGATTGTGCTGAAACGTTGTGAATAATATTCTGAATGCTGGAGGCAGTACATGTGTTCTGCTGGTGTATTGTGCATGTCTGTTCATGAGAGATTAAGGTCTACAAATGAATGGCTGTCATGTCTTGTATGTGAAAATTGTCTTTCATATTTTATCTCAAATTGAAAAGGAAAAACTTGAAATAAAACTGAAAATATTCAACTCAATAGGATTCCAATATTCTTAAACTCAAACTTCTTCATTACAGAAGGACTCCTGGATGATTGTGTTTCTGATGCCCAACAAGAAACAGAGGCAGCCGAGGGGGCCGCTATAGGACTGATTACCTGGATTAATTGCAGAACAGTGAATGTAGGTAATTCTCTCCCTATAAGTTTGCTTGTTATTGGAGTTCCTTTCTTCATCTACAGATTTAATTCATCATGATACAATATTGTCTGGGGTTTCAGGTGCAATAAAGTCATCACCCTGCATAGTCCCTTTGGCAGAGCATATGATCCTTGATGCTGGGGCTTAGTACATAAAACTGTATAATATAAAACAATAGGGGTAAATTAGATGGATGTCACTGGGTCTTGTTGTGGATTAAATCATAAAATTATTCTGAATTTGAATGCTAGTTGTAAGCCAAAGTGTTTTACAGAGGATGTGGGGGTCCCTGGTGGGCCCCTGATGGGGCCCTGGTGGAAGCCCTGGTGGGGGCCCTGGGATGCTGTGTCATGGACCAAGTGGATATATCTTCAGCAACAGGTCAGTGGCCCACTTGTCTTATGACTTGCCCTCAAAGAATTAGTTTAGGCAATCCACTAAATCATCGTGATTAAGTCCATTTGGCTCTGGTTGCAAATTTTGGCCATAAACACTGTATAATATCTCCATTAACCAGAATCCCTCTTAGCTGGAACTCTCCGATACCCGGAAGAGAAATTTTTTCATAATTTTCCTGAATATTCACGGTCTGGATATACTGCCCTTTAGTGCAGTCACTTAATATTATGTTTTTTTTTAACTTACTTCTTAAGTTAAGGTTGCTGCCACCAGACCACAGGGCAGTATGTGTAGTGTTCTTTTGGTAGCTGCCAGAGCAATCCAGGCACTAAGTTCATGTTTTTCATTAATCAAGTTGAGAAAGGAAGGAAGGGTGAAACACCAACCAGTATTCTTATGACACTTTATTTTAGTTATTAAAAATATTGCATTCAGTCACATTACAAAATAGTTGACTATCCCCAAGCAATTATTTAGGTCACTGCACCACACAAGATTACCCAACCTTCTCCAAATAATTATTTAAGGTCTTTGCTCTCCATACAAAATCATTGACCTCTTTACCCAGGTCATTCCTTCCTCAATATCACCCAAAATATTCAATATTGTAGCACCAAAATATTCAATATCCCCTGAATAAGGAACAGCCAATAATACACACAATACATACAGGTGCTGCAACTCATTCTTGGCACCAGGGTACACACAGTAGGTACCCGTCTCACACTATAATCTTGTTAGGTAGAAGAGATCCTTCCCAGGCATTCATACCAGGACTATTTCTGCATCCAGTATCATTAGTTCACTTAAAGTAGTGACTGTGTGCACCTCAAGTAGCACCAACATCTCTTCACATCCAGGGTGTTGAAGTGTAAGATGTCTAGAGATCCTTAGGAGAGGTTGCATAGTGGACATAAGCATTACCCACAACACCAGGTGGGATACTCAAAGTAGAACTGTGGTTGCTGGGCCAAGCATGCTCTCTGACCTCACTGGTCTGTATCCATGGTTCCTTTATCACTCACAGGCGTGTACACTTTGAAACTGTAGCCGTAGGCTGTTTAGGCTCCAGTGCGAACAAAGGCCTTGGTTCTTGGCTTGGGTATGGTTCATTCCCCCCACACTTTGCAATTGTTTAACATGTTCATAAGATTCTTGAATCCTTACACTGTTCGTGGCTATTCGTTACATGGGGTAACTATGTATATTCAGCTCACACTGAGGTACCTAAAATATTTTCCTTGGAGTATAGTTTATGGGCCAATCCCAACACTTCACATATGTCTGATACATTTATCTTTTTCCCAGATCATTGTTCTCCTATATTTTCATCTGATACCTGAGGTAGCTATGTTTACTAATCATACACGGACGTAAGTACCATAACCTTCAGACACAGTCATACTTAATCACTATAGTACATTAGCTCATACTAATTGGGCCTTCCACCTCATCATATAGGTACCTTGAGTTCTCCCTAGTACTATCAGTATACATACTTAAGATTATATGCCCGGATACTGGTATAATTCGTATAAAACAACATACATCATACGAATTACCCCTTCCAAATGTTGACCGTTCTCTGTGACACTCCTCACTCGAAAACGTA